GGTGCATTCATTAGAAATGGTACAAAATAACTCTGATCACTTCATAACAGCTAATTACGATCGAAAGACGAGCATCACACTAATGAAATCTACCCTTAAATTACCTTCACTTGCTTCTCGTCGTACTACGATCCGCTTAACCCTTTTCCATAAAATATATCACCATTCATACTTCCGTGATTTACTAATCCTTCCGTGGCATTACGTTTCTCGTCGTTTAGATCACGCTCATAAAGTTGGCATCCCATCATCTCAAACAGCGTCATTTCGACAATCATACGTACCACGCACTTCACGCGATTGGAATTGTCTTCCTGAATCGTTTGTAAAAATTTCAGATCATGACGCATTTGAGACTGTATTAAACAATTCTTTGAATACCTGGTCCGAGTTTTTCACCTTATACATTTCTGAAAATAAGATTTCACTGTTACCTGTTGTTTTTGTTGTACCTGTTGCACTGAAGTGTAACAATGGTCATTTTATACTTAGAAACGTTATCTTTGTCTTTTTATAAGAATGTATCTTTCTATTTTCTTATATGCCATTTTGATATTTCTCATTGCTTTCTTTTTTTGTTTTGTTTCAATCTGCTGTTGTATAACCAAAAACATTGCATTGCCTCTGGTACTTACATACTTGTTTTGTAGTTTTTACCACTCCCCTCTGTAATGTCAGTTGACCCTGAGGGTAAGTAAATAAATAAATAAATACATAAATGAATAAATAAATGAATAAATAAATAAACAAGCAAATAAATAAATAAATAAATAAATAAATATGCGCAGCAGTCATGGAACTTCATCATTCGATTATGTTTTGTTTTTAAGTTATCTGCTCTAATTGTAGCGGCAGAGAAGGATACTGAGTTATTCAAAGAAAGACAACATTAGCAATACTCAGCTTATTCATTGAGCTCAAGCATGTCTATTAAAATAATATTTCAGACTCGCTTTTTGATTTTATACTGCATAAAGGTTCATAAAGAGTTATGAGGTCGCGATGACATGGTTTCTTAATTTTGACAGTCTGCCGGTGCAAGTGTTGATTGTGTCATGAAAATTTGAGGTTAATATCTTCCTAAAAAAAGCTCCCAGACGAACATTTTTTTCCCTAGTGGAAACGCAGCACATGCATAGAGCCTGCGCAACACGTGGTAGATACCCAATAAGCAGCTGTTTGTTGACTTGGAAATATATTGATTCGAGCTCTATGGTATACGTTTTGTTCTTAATTAGTGCGCATTAGAGGGGTCGTGGTACATGTTGACGGCTTGCTGTATCTGGTTATTTCCAGCGACGAGGGCGGGAAGTGAGGGCTGAAGAAAACCCAGCGGGTGTCGGACTGAACCAGTTATTATTCGAGGACTAGTGGCGTTTCACTATTCCGGATTTGCTCACAGACGTGTTAATTTATTGGCACTGTTCCATTTTCAACGATGACGATACTTGCATAGTATAGAGCTCATCACTGTGCACATGCGCGAACTAGCGCATTATTGCCCATTGTGCCAGCTATTGGGCGATGGGTTGCAATTTCGTAATTCTTCCTGCAAGGAATGCGATCAGCAAGCTAGAAGTCCCGGTCACCGCAGCTGGCTCATATCTTGTTGGTATTCTTGCTGCGCTTCACGTACTGGAGCTTGCTATCGTGACTTGTACATTAGCCCTCTAATAAAAACGTAAACTTTGCGAACACTGCACACGAACACGCAGCTTTCAATTGTACTGTACTGCGACTGACTACGTGCAGAAAACCTCGTACACGTTCCTCTAACTTATCTTTGAGAAACGCTTAGAGTTTACTGGACGTTGAGAAACGCTTATAGTTTATGGAAGGGGTGCTCTTAAGATTCGAAACCAGTATATAGACATATAAACTCATAGTCACCTTGCACACACAATCTATATCATATCACGTAGGGCGTTTGATGAATTGGCACCCATTGATGTTTCGCTAACGAGTTACTTCGTGATTCATTGCCTACACTACCATTTCTTACAGCTAATTGCTAGGCTCATAAGAAAAAAGTCCAATGTACTGTGTACAATAAACACTCCCCCAAAAAGCTGTTCACCACTTTCCGTTAAACGATTGGCAGATCTCACGTACCGTGGGAACCGATGATATGCGTAGCACGAATAAGGAATGTTGATATGTCGCTTTAAAATGATCGCGACGTTACCAGCTGCATGGAAGTAGTACATAGTGAACAAAAGTAGTAATGTTATGCATACTCGGGTATCTTTAGATAAGATGCAAGTATGTTGTTTACAGTCGCGTAACGACAAAGCACTAACGTTTGTTATCACAGCCCGAGCACAGGTCGGCAAGAATATTATGCCGTGCATGGCTTCCATGTCATGATTATCATGTTTGTGACTGGAATTTGCGTTCGTCATTCATTCGCATCACGTAATAAGAAATTTCGCATATGTGAAGCTAGCGAAATGGCCGTGAATGCGTCATAAACCTTGTATATAGTCGTGTTTTTACATGAAATGAATGTCATTATTACCATGTTTGCACAAGTCATATACTTTCATAATCTATTCACGTTACATGACACGGAATTCGGTATATGTGAAGCTAGTGAAATAACCGCGAGTGCATTATAAGCATACCGTGTAGTCCTGTTTTACGTGGCACGCATATAGCTATTATTATGTTTAGATGTGTCATTTACCTTTGTCGTCTATTAACGTCATATACACCAGATTTCGTATATGTAAAGCTAACGAAACGACCGCGAGCACGCGACGAGTGTAGCATGTAGTCATGTTGCACATGACATGCATACCTTACTTATCTTGTTTAGACGTGTCGTTTTCCTTCGTGATCCATTCACGTCATGTAATGCCAAATTTAGTATATGTCAAGCTATTGAAACGGCCACGAGCGCAGTGTGAGCGTAGCATGTACTCATGTTTTACATTACACAAATGTCGTGATTATCTTGTTTGGACCTGTCATTTACCTTCGTCGTCCGTTCGTGTCACGCAACACCAAATTGGGTATATGTGAAGCTAGCAAAATTGCCGCGAACGCATAATGAACGTGGCGTGCTGTCATGTTCTTAGGTGACTTGCATGTCACGATTATTGTGTTTGCACTAGTCCTATATCATTGTAATTCATTCACACACACGTAATAACAAACTCGATATATTTGAAGCTAGAGAAACGATCGCGAGCGCACCATGAGCGTATGGTCTGTAGTCATGACTTAGATGGCATGATTTCATGATTTCTGTGCTAGGGCCTGTCACTTATTTTCGCTATGCAGTCATGTCATACCATGGCAGTTGTGTAATATGTCACGTGAGAGCAACATCAAATAACAGCAAGACCGTAGCATGTAATTTATGACATTCATAACATACATCTCGTCATTTTCATGTTATGAGTAGTTATTATGAGTAGTTAGATAGATAGAGAGATAGATAGATAGATAGATAGATAAATAGATAGATAGATAGATAGATAGATAGATAGATAGATAGATAGATAGATAGATAGATAGATAGATAGATAGATAGATAGATAGATAGATAGATAGATAGATAGATAGATAGATAGATAGATACGCTAAAGTTCACCGAAGTTTCCTAAGAAATGATTCGAACTGAAAATCCAGAACCTACACGAAAGCCATTTTTCAGCTCTACTTAGCCCATTTTCTCCGTGTGTATTTTTTGTTATTATTGTCTCCACCAATATCCATGTGCTCTTCAAACATTCATGGCATCAGGAGTTCAATTGCTCTATTGAGTAGTACGTGCTGCGCAAGTCAAAAAGGCTATCGATATCTGAGCTCCATTTACACAGTGCCACATATTGCATAAATCGTAGAAGAACTAGGAGAAAGCGCCTCAATGATTCTGCCTGACGATATCAAGCCTTTCGAAGGAGTGCAAAATTCACAGATGAATATTATGAAAACAAAGTGCTATTATTTTAGAGTTGAATGGAAGTAGTTGATTGATGGGCGATGAAGACAATGTTTCCTCTGTTCAGTGTGTGCCCGTCTAACGCACATTTTGGTCAGATCGCTTTACAGTTCACAATAAAGAAATGACAAGATATTGCAAGATAATTCTAAAACACTTCCTCATTACAGACATACTAATTTTGTTAATGAAAGTATGCCCACCATATAAATGGCGAATTCCACCATCCTGCTTTTCGATAAGTACGCGCGTACTGTTGCTTGAGTATTGTGATGTTTTCGCTCAACGTATACCGCACTTGCGCCAGGGCACTCATCTCTAGCTCTATCGTTAGCTACAACTACATACGGCTTGGTAAAACGAAGGCAATGCGTGGGGGAAAGTATGGCACCTTATTGTATCAGTAGGGCATACAAATCTACACATATCTGTTTCCTCGCATTCGAGTCAGACAGGTGTATTTGCATCATTCCACAAACACCCACCCAGCTTCCATCACGCCGCCGTCATTAGCTTTGTTCACCAAGCCATCCACCAAACATGTTATGTATTGCATAGTCACTTTTAGCCAACGCTTCCCGCTGTGACCATCTCTGGCCCTCCACCACCAGCAAAAGAAGTTCGCCACCTCTACCATTATCTTCCAATATTTTTTCCCACGATCGCCATCATCACTCATTATGACTACTACAGGTTTCAGGATATCCACTATTCACAATTCCTTCCACCATATCCACTAACGATTTTAGCATCCACCAATCCAGGAAAATTCTTAGAGTTTTCCAGTGATTATTCCTTGAATCGCCTGAGTTTTGCTTCCTTCTTCTTTTTCTGAACTTGAATGTCAATTGCCATTGTAACCTGCTGCACTATGTGACATCAAATAACTGAGAAAAAAAGGAAAGATGTCCACATGACCACGCGATTCCAGCACAAAGAAGACCTTTCAATTCTATTGAATGAACGAAATTTATTATCGTTTGTCAAATATTGATATAGAGTGTTTGACATGTGAAGTCACTAGAGGTGACATTTCGCGCTTCTTTCGCAGCTTGTCGCGAAGGGGCGTTTCCACGAACATGACAGCTTCCACTGTTGACGCACGTGGTAATACACCTCGCAAGAAAACATCGCCGGAGGAGTGCTGGCATGTGGCTGTAATCGCCGGCTTGCTGACGTGCCTTGCATCAGCCATGACTCGCTCCTCGGGATTCCTGTACGTTGGCATCATGGAGCAGTACGGAGTCGATCACGAGAAAGCATCGTGGCCAATCGCTCTGTCGTCCGTGCTGAACAACATGGCAGGTGAGAAAGTGTGACCAGCTCCTTGCTTCGTTGGCTTGTTATGCCATGAAAACCGAGGCCGAATGTCATGTTCGCTTCAGAAAAACACATGAATATTCTCTACCGGTCACTATATTATTCCTGACTATACAACCAGCGTACCTAGTTTTAGGACTTGTCACGCTTAGACGTGAATTGTAAGATTCTGCCTTCAGTATTCAATACACCTTGAAGTTCTCTCGAAGGTATTTCTAAGAAAGTCATTTTCGATAAAAACTTCGGTACAATAAATAATAACAGTAAGATGTTGTGGACGAATAAAGAAACTGTTACGAATAATTCATGTTTCTAAATTGCGCTTTTTTACGGTAGGGTTGGGCAAAAGGAGGCAAAATAAGATAATAGTACTTATGCATATTTTATTTCACTATTTACAATACACGTCCATGCAAAAACTCTTCTTCGGGTATAAGGTATTTGCTACATAAATATGACCTTGCTGCCACAGATCAAAAGTTCATTACAAAAAGAAATAAAAAGACACCAGGTGTCTCATTTTACCTACACCTGCGGGGCGAAAAGAACAGCACAAAAAGTTGTCTTCTAGACTCGTAAAGAAGCTATACACAAAATATTTTAACAAAGTGAAGTGGGAAACTGAGATGCATAGCTCAAACATCTAGGACCAGGTACAAGTGTTCAGGCAAGCCGAAGACGCCGCTAGGGCCCAAGGATACTTAACTGCTATCTAGGAGAGAGGTTATAATTGCTCTGAAGCTTTCCGTTCAAATTAACCTGTTTGTCTCTGTGTCTCTTTTCAGTGGTTCTATTACAAGCACTTGATACTGTATTCACTCTGTCGCTAAAACATCTACGTTGCATGTTTGTATAATTGCTTGTGCTGCCATAGGTTCATCTGTTGTTTTTTGTTTTGTTTTTTTCCTGTATTCATTCCTATGATTTTATCCTTTTAGTTTTTAAATGTTTACACAATACCCTTGTCCATTGTTTCTCACCTTGTTTGTTTGCTATTTTTGCTGTTCCATTCATGCAATATGTGTATGGCATGCTTGAAACCGCTCTAACCAGTAAGAGTGCCAAGTGGCCAGGTTACCTTCAAGCTGGCTAATGCAGCTTTTTCCCCTGTTCTCCTCGGAACCTTTTTTGCCCAATTATTTTTATTCAAAATTCACTCCGTAGGCCCTCACGCAGTCCGCGTAACCCAGTTCTTGCCCTCAAAACTTTGAATCTAAAGAGACCCTAGCGGTGTTTCGCTACGAAACTCCTCGCAGATAATGCCATCAGTCTTTTTTTGTGCTAAGGTTGTCGTTTTCCAATGATTTTACTCCAAGGGATTATGCAACATCTGACATCTTGTCAATTGACAATTGACACCTTGTAGAGTGATTACGTGGCGCTCATGTGCCAATTTACTGTATGCTAACGTTTACTATGAAATGTATAGCTGGAATACCCAAGAAGAGCATAAATATTTATTGACTATCTACATTTATTAGCAATCAGAGTTAGAGTTATCAGAGTTAACCAAGTTTACAAACCACCATCTAGTTAGATAAAGATGTCGCAGGTGAAGACTATGGTTGTCTCATGAGAAACTTAAGTATAATATAGAATAACTCTTAGATTTGAAAATTGCCAAGCTACTATTTATTTATGAGGAACACGATAATATAGGGCTGGGAAATTTTTTTCCTGGCGTTCTGTGCAGCTAAATCGTAGGCAGCCTTATAGGCAGCTTAAAGCAGGCACTACACATGGGCTTCCTGAAGGCCACCGCAAGGATAGATGCGACCATGAAGAAGGTGAATCAGAATATGATGAACGAGGCCAGATATTACCAATTCAGTAATCTGCTCAGGCATAGGAGATGAAAGCCTTGACGTCAATTTACCTTCAAGTGCGCAGAATAAGACAAAACTTCCTCGCTCTACTGCAATTAGTTGGTATAACTACTTCACGGAAATACTGACCAGGTGTGTGCCAACGTAGGCACATACTGCATTACAACAATAACGAAATTCTACTGGATTGAAAATTATTGACAAAAAGTGGTGGTGAGTGATATTCATTTTGCCAGATAGCCATGAAAAAGTGTGGTGCTTGTTGAAAATAGACTTGTGGGGGGGGGGGGGGGTGTAGTCCTGGTGATAGGGACTTGGGCGAAACGAAGAGAAAATGGAAGTGGGATTCGGAGCTCACCTTTTGTACAGTAAAGACGTGTCTAGCTCTACGATCACGTGTCCTCAATATTATTGGTGCCGTGAAACCCGAGACATGGGCAGGTCTGGACTACAATGTCTTCGACCAGGAGGCTTCGAAAGGTGCGTGGAACTGTCAGGGCCAGAATCTCTCGGACTATTACGCTCCTGACAGTACTGCTGCAAAAAACTGACACTGAAGCGCGCGAGGTCAATGGGCAAGTCACCGTTTTGAAGACGAAAGAAGCTGAGCTCTGTCAGCTAGACAAGGACATTCTCGATCTTACAGCAGACAACGCTATTGAAAGAGAAGTCCAGTGTGCAAGCGAATACCACGAAAAATTATGTATGCGATTGCTAGTGCGCATAAATGGATGGATAGATGGATATGGCAGTACCCTTTAGATCGGGCGGTGGCTAGCACCACCAAGCTGTAATACTTACTCAACCATAAACTAGGTTTATTTTTTTCTTTAAATAGTGAGGTTCAGGATTTGTACTTTGCAGTGAAGGGTTTAATTTTCATTCGTGCCTTGACTTTAGGCACCAATGAGATAACCTTCTTCAAGTTAATTCTACCCGCTAAAGTCTGTTTTGCCCTCCCTGTCCCTAAGCCCCAATGCTTTGAAAAACTTAGCCCATCATCCTGAACTATAGCGTGAAGCCCTTTACAGAACATTATCAAGTGCTTGGCAGTTTCTTCTTCTTCTCCACACGCACTGCATACCGTGTCTACCCCTTCGTACTTGCCCCGGCATGTCTTGGTTTGCAATACTCCCATCCTGGCCTCAAACAGTAGAGAACTACCCCGAGTATTATCATAGATCCTTTCCTTGGCCATTTCCTGCTTAAAAGTTAGATAGAGCTCTAGTGCGGACTTCGTAATCACACCATCTCTCCACATATCGGTCTCAGCTTCCTTCACCTTCTTCTTAACCAATTCTTCCTTTTAGTTTGGCCCCTTGCTGTTTTCTAAGTATTTATCAGTCAATTTCCTGGTTCGCTTCCTCCATTTTGTATCGACATTCTTCATGTACAAGTAGCTTAAAACCTTCCTAGCCCAACGTTCCTCCCCCATTTCTCTCAATCGCTCCTCAAGTTTTATCTTGCTGCTAGCTTCCCTGCCCTCAATTGATGTCCATCCCATATCACCTTGTACTCCCTGAATTGGTGTATTCGCGTGAGCTCCTAAAGCAAGCCTACCTATTCCACGTTGCTTAATTTCTAATCTCAGTGCTTGAATTTCTGATCTCATGCACAAGACCACATTGCCGAACGTCAGCCCAGGAACCATGACCCCTTTCTATATTCCTGTCACAACATCATACTTATTGTAATTCCACAGTGCCCTATTTTTCATCACTGCTGCATTCCTGTTACTTTTAGTCGTCACGTATATTTTGTGTTCCCTTAGGTACTCGGCCCCTTTGCTTATCTATACGCCCAGATATTTGTATTTATCTGTTATCTCTGGCGTGACCTCTTGTATTCTAGGCTCACAACCTTCATTGTCACTAAAACATTACTGCTGATTTTTTCTCACTGAATCTGAAATTTAACCTATCTCCCTCATTACTGCAGATGTCCACCAATCTGTGCAAATCTACCTTGTTGTCGGCAATTAGCACTATATCATGCGCGTACATCAATGCTGGTATTGCCTGTTCAATAAGTTTTGCTTGTTTGATGAAAGAGAGGTTGAAGCCCGGTCCGCTTCCCTCTAGTTTGGCCCCTAATCTTTGTAGGTACATCATGAATAATAAGAGTGACAGGGGACACCCCTGCCTAAGCCCCCGTTTTACCTCTGCAGGCTTGTATACTTGTTTTCCCCACTTTATAACTGCCTTGTTACCTTTATGGATGCCGTTTAAAAGATTAGTGACTACATCTTCCACGCCTAGTGTACCCAGTATTCTCCACAATTCCTCTTGAACCACGCTATCGTACGCTTCCTTCATATCCAAAAATGCTAGCCACAGGGGCCTGTGTTCCTTTTCTGCTATTTCGATGCACTGCGTCAGTGAGAACAGATTGTCTTCCAACCTCCTGTGTTTTCGAAACCCAGTCGGTAGTTCCCCCAGCTCTCCTCATCCTCTATCCATGCCTGCAGTCTTTCCTTTATAATCTGCATCGCCAGCCTGTAGACCACTGATGATTCTGTTATAGGATAGTAGTTGTTCATATCATATTTGTCCCCCTTTCCTTTATAGATCATGCTCATCCTGCTAAGTTTCCATCCATCGAGAAATTCATGATCGATTATTATGTTGCTCACTGCCTTCCTCAAAGCCTGCTTGGACTTCGGACCTAGTATCTTTATCAGCATATTTGGAATGCCATTTGGGCCTGTTGATGTACTACTAGGAACCCTTTTCTCAGCCCTTTCTCACTCTCGTTGTGAAAATGGAGCCGTTGCACCACTTGATTCATCTTTGTTTATTGTGGTACATAAAGCACTTCTTAATTGAAATTTTTTTGTCACCCTTCTTCTTATATATTCAATTGATTCGTGCCCTTCTAGACTTGTACCCTAAGCTGTAGTTATAAACCTCTGCTCTAGGCTTATCTCATTTTTTAGGGCGTTTAGATGGTTTCGAAATTTCGCAGCTGCCTTTCTATCTGTTTATGCACTTCTGCCAACCACTGAGATCTCTTTCTTCTAATCTTTTCATTGAACAGAAGGGATGCATCCCTTCTACAGCTTAGAAAGATATCTCATTTTCTTTGAACATCATCTGTCAGTTCACCCCGCTGCTTAGCATGTCTATGTTCCCTAGAGGTTTCTGACATTTTGCTACGGCT